AAGGAAACAAACAATAAACAAAGCAACACAAACCAAAAAAAAAAAAAAAACAGAAAGGCAAAACAACTAAAAAAGCTCCAGGGAGGGAGGGCGGGAGAAACCTCACCCCTGCTGGCACAAGCTCCGACTAACCCCCGACAAATTCCAGCCCCTCTCCTCATCCTAGCAAAACCACCCTCCAGCCCGATTGCTCCAAGCAACCATCCCCCATCTCCTATACTCCCCCCCAGCTCCCGTCTCTGCCTCGTCTGCAAGCCCCAGTCATGCTGGCCCTCCCCTTAGCTTCGCTTGTCCAGGCCCTGACTGGAAGCATGTTACTGGCGTGATCACCATGCAAAATTTAACGATTGGTAAACTGAATTATATGTATATTTTTTTAAAAAAAAATTTTGGGGGGGGGCGGGGTTAATGTTTTAAAGGTGAACTTCATTAAATCAGACTGCATAGCAACCATCACCTGCAATAAATACCCTTGATCAGCTGTTGTAATGAACAATACAACTGATGAGTCAGGAGTTCCCTCAGGGATCAACGTTAGTGAACATGCATCAACATGTTAAAACATGCAACTGGCTGTAATCTGTCATGTGTGACACGCCACACATTGACAGAAGGGCCAGGTATTGTAACAGTTGATAGGTATGGGGTTCATTTTAGAGCTCAGGTTAGGTTAGGTGTTTGGGTTGGCATAGAGGTTAGGGTAAAGCTGAACTCTAGACAAAGTTTCACAGTTGTAATACATACAGTATATGGTCACTGTTTGTAATTTTTGCAAACAAGTTCTGAGATTTACACCACCTAGCCAGGGAATTTATGTTCACTTTTTGTTTACCCCCCAGGCTGAATACTATTGGCTACTACCACTTTTGGCTCTGGAATGTATTGGTCTGAAAAAAAAAACTGACCTACCAACAATAAATTACCATCCATGGTACATGTTGACTCATTCTTACCTTTGTACACACAGGGTGGTTTACATTCAACATGGAGGTTTCATCAAGATCAGAAGATAAAACAAATTACAATGATTTTGACCCAAGAAAGTACCTTGACATTTTTTATGCAATAGACGAAGATCATGAAATGACCAAGGAGGTCATGTTCCAGCTCACATTTATGAAAAATGTATTTTCATCAGGTATGCAATACTGTTGATGCCAGTATAGTCCCCTTGATGTCTATTCAGGTCTGGATGTGAATATAGACATTATTTTAGTTTTAAATTGTCCCATTAATTTACTTAACTTTATCTTACCTTTTTGTGTTTCAACACGTTTTTGAGGTTTTTACATGTTACAAAAACACGAAGACAGCAAAAGACCTGGCATTGGCCAAGGATACTATCACAAACAAAAAATGAAATTACTTTAAGGCCTGGTATGGCCACATCAGTCTGATCATCAATATAACTGGTACAGTTATTCGTTATTGTGGTGACCCAACTGCCAAGTCATTGTCATCTTGATTAGCTCTAATAGGTACAATTGTTTAAACAGTAGATAGTAGGAAAAGAAAGAAAGAAGAAAGAAAGAAAGAAAAGAAAGAAAGAAAGAAAGAAAGAAAGAAAGAAAGAAAGAAAGAAAGAAAGGTAAAGGAAGACATACATGAAGGCTAAGAAAAGTTTGCAAAAGGAAAGTAGGAAGAGGAAAGATCTCAGGACTGGGAGATATCCCTTTGGATATTCAGGGAAATGTTTCAGTTAATGGATGATAAATAGTAAATAAATCCTATAAAAGATAGTGAGTTATCCATGGGTCCCAAACTTTTCAGAAGCTTTTCATGGATTCCCAAAGTGCATCATCTGCTTACTCAGCAAATCATTTTGTTTGATTTAACCTATAGTAATTTGAACAAACCCGTAGATTGTGGAGTGTTTTTTTTTTTTTTTTGTTTTTGTTTTGCTTTCTGAATTTTTTATTTTTTCCAGCAACAGCAAAACAAAATTCTGTTCCTCCTGAGTCTCAGGTGTTCTTCCTTCTGTGTCACCAGTGATTTTGTTTTTGTGTTCTTTTTTTCCTTTCTTAAAATTTTACATTTTATTTACATTTTTTTGCAGCAGCCTTAAAATAAATAAAATTGTCCATAGTTGCTGTACCCCCTATTTTCTTCATTAAAAAAACAATAATAAAATGGTTTATAGTGCACCAAGCATAAGTGTTGCACCCAAGCACCAAATTCCTATCCCACATTATAAAAATCCCCAAAATAAAAATCTCCATGTCTGAAAGGCCAACAAGGAGAGGCAGACACTCACAGGCAGCTAAAAAAGGGCAAGCAGCCTCTGTGTCCACAGTGATAAGTGGTGGTCATGGACATGGTGTATCCTCTGAGAGCAGGGCACGCTTGTGTGTGTGTGTGTGTGTGTGTGGTGTGGTTTTGTTTGTTTCCTGGTGCTGGCCGTTATTGCACGGAGCCATCACCTGAATTATTTGATCATAGTTTTACATGCTGCTGGAGGATGCACATTTGAATGCTCCGGTGTTGGTTCCCAGGTTGAGGAAGGGAGTGTCGTGAGCCTAGAAAGGGGGTGCCATTGACAGACAAGAAATGGGCAGTCATGTTCCCCCAGCTGTAGCATACTGCTAAATTGGCTCCAGTGATGAGGAGGGAGGCAATGATGAGGTCACTGACTGTAGTTGGGTGCCTGAGAGAACAGAGGAGGAGGCACAACTCCCAACGAGGCAGGATGTCCTCCAGGGCCAGGCGTAAGGCCAGCCACCCTATTACATCACATGACAAAGCTCCACAGGTACAGGGCGCTGCTGACTTCCAAAATGTCATTGTTGTGGGCTTTTTTCTACATGTGCAGCAGACCGCAACATTGCTGTTTGCAGTCTGTCTGAAGCAGATCAAACATGGCCAAACACCAGCAGCTTGGGCACCACATGCTTGACAAGACAGATGACGACCTGCCATGCAGCCCATTGGCAACAGCACCTGAAAGACCCACATCATAAAAAAAAGTGCAGACTTCTCCTTGCTCCTCATCTGGGATCTCTATGCCTAATATACCTCAAGTCCTCTCAACAGCCTCCACTGAGAGGGATGATGGTATAGCAATGGGTGCCACTGGTCCTTGCACTCAATCTACTAGCAGTACACCACCTCTTGATTTCACCTGAGAAATTTTGCTATTTCAGTTGCTGAACCGTAAAAAAAATACTGTGCCACCTATCCACATGCATTGTATCTAAATGCTAGCTTGGCCAAAATTCTAGCATTACAACTGCTGCCTTTCCATCTGGTGGACTCTGCCCCCTTCTGTGAATTTTCTGAATGTGCTGTACCACAGTGGCAGGTTCCAAAAAGAAATTTCCTTTCACGTAAGGCCATTCCAGCTCTGTACCATCATGTGGAAGGCAATGTTTTGGCTTCGTTGAACAGGGCGGTCAGCAGCAAGGTTCACATTACTGCTGACACGTGGTCCAGCAGGCATGGCCAGAGACGTTACATTTCCTTCACGGCACACTGGGTAACTCTGCTGGTAGCTGGGAAGGATACAGAACAGGGTTCAGTGCTGAAGCTTGTTCCGCCACCACGCCCCCAGCTGGTGGTGATTCTGACACCTGTCTGCTCCACCCCCCCCTTCCTCTATGGCCTCTTCTGCTGAATTGTCCTCTGAACCAGCAGTGCTCCCTAGGCATTCAAGGGGCTTCACAAGCATTCAGGCTAAAAAGATGCCATGCGGTGCTTGAGCTGGTCTGTGTTGGGGACAGGAGCCACTCCAGGGCAGAGATTGTCGGCTCTACAGGGGCAGGCTCAGAGGTGGTTTACGCCATGGCAGTTGAGCTAGGAATGGTTGCATGCGACCATAGCACCAACCTTCTCTCTGCCTCCAACAGGGACACTTGACACATGTTCCATGCTTGGCACACATCCTGAATTTGGAGGTGCATCGTTTCATTAACAGGTACCCAGGCTTCCAACATCTTCTAAGGCAGGCCAGAAAAATCTGTGGCCATTTGCGGTGGTCATACATGGCCTGCGTTCAGCTAGGCTGACATTCACTGGGAATTCAACCTGCCCACCAACTGCCACGTTAGTGACATGCCCACCAGGTGGAACTTAACAATGGCAAAGCAGCGGCTGCACATGCAGCAGAGGGCCATCAGTGTTTACCTGTGTGAATATGGCACAAGGACAGGCTCAGGGGAACTTGGCTATTTTTGCCATGCTAGTGGCTGCTGATAAAGGATGCATGCACTGTCCTGTCAACATTTGAGGAGGCCACAAGGATGGTGCGCCACAACAACGCATGCATCAGTGACCCTATCCCTCTAGTCTTCCTGCTGGAGCACATGCTGTGTGGAATCATGGACAGGGCGCTTGAGGCAGAACAGTGGGTGGAAATGGAGAACTTCCTTTCCTCTCAAGGCTCCCTTTATGCAGATACCATTCCTGCGGGGCCTCAGAAAACACAGGAGGAGGAGGAAAAAGAGGAGGGTTGTGACAGCTTGGAAGTAGAGGATAACATGTTGAAGTCTTCAAGGGATGGTTTTCAGTCCCCAGAAACCCAGGCAGGAGTAGTTAGGAGGGACCCCACAGTAAAAATTGTTTTTTAAAAAAAGTGTTTAGGGTTCCCCCTAAAAGCTATACCAGGGAACCAGCCCTTTAGGTCTGGTAAGACTTTTTTACAGGAACCCAGCCTCCCAAAAAATGGGGGAGAAATGTGCGTGTGCTTCCCCCTAAAAGCCATACCAGGTCCTCAAAGTCTATTGGTACTTGTAATTTTCCATTTACAGAATTAATTTTTTTAAATAGTGACAGATAGTGGGGGGGAGAAGATTCTCCGCTAGCTGTCCCTAGATGCAGCAGAGTGAGCATTAGCTCCAGGAGAGGGAAAATGTTACATGTTCCACCCTAAAAACAGGTGGAACATGTAACATGTTCCCAGAGGTGAACTTATCTTTTTAATAGTACATTTAACCTACCAAAATGAACCAAATAAGTTCTTTGTTAAGGTTTACATGCCCTTTTTAAAATTGTGAACATATTCTTTTATAGGTCGTGTGGAAGGCAATAGTCTTGTAGAGATTGGTGCTGGTCCCACCATATTTCATATTCTGTCTGCCTGTGAAAACTTCAAGCAGATATACCTTACAGATTATGTAGAAGGCAATCTGCAAGAATTAGAGAAATGGCTAAAAGGTGATAAGAAGGCCTTTGATTGGTCTGGACATCTGAAATATGTCTGTGAGATTGAAAACCACAGGTATGTACTAAACATCAATTACTGTATACTAGATATGGATGAGTTTGACGCTCCAAAAGAGTTGCTAATTTTTGTCAGTTTGCTGAAAAATCCAGTTTTTTTTTTTTAAAATTCACTCAATATTCTCTACAATATCAATTACGCATTGTCCAGTCCTATCCTGCTGCTCCCTTTTTATATTGCCTATATAACATGGACAGCTGATCTGATAAATTATATACAATGTAGTACAAATAAATTATAAAACTTTCTCTGCTCTCATACTTTGACACTATTATATCACAGTGCTATTTGAAGTGGACACTTTGTACTTTATTTGTTTGAATGTAGTACAATTAATCACTGATCTAATATCCTACATTTTAGCAGTTGGGGCAGCAGTCTTTAGGTGCAAATGGGCAACATGAGCAAAGTTAATCTGCTTTTTGTGGTTTTTCATGACATTTTGTTACATGTGGAGTTTTCAATAGTTTAATTTTTCAGTAAATTGTTGGGAGGGAGGAACTCTTTTGTGGTGTCATTGTTGCATATTTTCTTGTTTTTGGATGTCTACATGTTTGTGGTGAGGCACCTGTCTGATATTCATAAGGATGGAATTTCCCCAATTAGTAAACTTTGTATCCGCTGGGTTATTGTTTGTTTTGTATACATTTGTTTCTCCAGGAGTATGGATGGAGAAGAATTCTGATCATACAAATAAACAGGATTTTACCAGCATATTTGCAAAGTTTTTCCTAAACTTGGCAACATAGGCTGATACCTGAATTTTAGACAAGCTAGCCATAGGTAGATATCAAAATATATTTTGGCGCACTGTTTGAGGAAAAGGAACTCTTGAAATATATTTTTTTTAATTGAAAGTTCTCACAATTTTATTGTGTGTGTGTATACAAAATTAAAACCTATATCAAATATTTATTTAACACAAGCATTCTTAGATTTACACTGTATTGTTTCTTGATTTTTAAGAAATTACATTTTTTTTTTCGATTCGCAGTTGAACAATTGAGCCTAACGAAAGTACAACCGAGAACTTCGAACAGAGAGGACAATTCACTAAGCGGTATCTTACCGCATCTAAATATGCAGTAAGCTAACGCACAGCTACTAAAAACCTTCTTTAATGTTTCAGCTGTCAGTGGGGTTCGACAGCTGAATGTAACAAGAATTGCTGGCATTGTCCGGCAATTAAAAAACATATTTTTTTAAAAAAGTGTGAGGTACACTCCCCATCCTTACCTAGCCCTTCGGGTCTGGTATGGATTTTGAGGGGAACCCCATGCCAAAATGTAAAATAAAATGGCATTTGGGTCCCCCCCAAAATCCATACCAGACCTTTATCTGAGCATGCAGGTCTGGAAAGGGGGGGGAGCGAATGTCCCCAGTCCTGAACCATACCAGGCCACATGCCCTCAACATGGGGGGTGCTTTTGGGTAGGGGGGCTCCCCCCATGTTGATGGGGAAAAGAAACTCTTCCCCACAACCGTGGTTGTGAGGGGGTCTGTGGGCGAGGGGCTTATCAGAATCTGGGCCCCCAGATTCTGTCCCCCCCCATGTGAATGAGTATGGGGTACATAGTACCGCTAATCATTCACAAAAAAAAGTGCAGTGTAAAAAATGACAGTAGACAGTCTTTGACAAGTCCTTTATCAAAAATAAAAAAATGTCCCCCAAAGTAGATCTTCCACCACCAACCTGAAAAAAGAGGGGAAAGAAGCTCGCTCCCACCATCTGACAGCTGCACCAGGATGACAGATCTTAGATACTGTGGTGACCTCACAAGGGGGAGGGTGACATCATCATGCACTGTGATTGGCCAAAGCATTGCACCTGACCTGTGGTCAGATGCGTTGCTTTGGCCAATCACAATGCACTGTCAGGACACAGTGCATTGTGGGGAGCGGTGGGCAAAGGCCCCGCCAAACGCTCTTACCATTTGTGTTTTCACTGAACACATGAACAGCCGATGTTTAAGTCGAACTTATGTTTGACTCGAACGCAATGCCCAACAATATTAATTACAGCACACAAACATTGCAGAATAACTCTGACGTCTCTGTACTACAAAGTATTAAAAATCATTTATCAACACATTTCAGTCAGATCTGATACTTCAGGACAGGTCATGTAGGTAGTACAGAAGAGAATTTATTTGTCAGGACTAATCTATATGGAAACAACACAGGTCTGTCTTCTGTCAGCATGGTCATGCTGTTTTTTGTATCTCTCTGAACAGCATGTCTCCAAAGTAAAATGCACACAGGGTAACCTTTTGATTGCCCCAGATGTCAACCCGTTCCTGCTCAGTGTCATTAGTACAATGTCAGCGCTTTTTATTAGCAATGATCACTGTATTCGTGTCATTGGGGATGTCAGTCGCAGTCCCGCTATAAGTCCTGATCGCCACCATTACTAATATTAAAAAAAAAAAAAAAGTGTTTCATATCGGCATGGATGTCACTCCACTTCCTCATACTCAATCTTTCAAAAACTGAGCTCTTAGTATTCCCCCCAGCCCGTGCCCCCTCCCCTGACTTCTCCATCAAGATCAATAATAAAACCATCAGTCCCTCCCCTCATGCCAGGGTACTAGGTGTAATCCTAGACTCCCATATGTCCTTTCAGCATCAAATCTAATCTCTGTCCAAATCTTGTAGATTTAATTTCTGCAACATCTTCAAGATACGCCCGTTCTTAACCTCGGAAACTACTTATTCACTCCCTTGTTATATCTCGCCTTGACTATTGTAACTCCCTCCTCATTGGCCTACCTCATCGCAGGCTATCCCCTCTTCAGTCTATCATGAATGCTGCTGCCAGACTCATCCACCTTACTAACCGTTCCATATCTGCCACCCCTCTCTGCCAATCCCTCTCACTGGCCTCCACTCAGTGTCCTCCATCCCTCTCTGCCAATCCCTCCACTGGCCTCACTCAGTGTCCTCCATCCCTCTCTGCCAATCCCTCTACTGGCCTCCACTCAGTGTCCTCCATCCCTCTCTGCCAATCCCTCCACTGGCTTTCCATTGCCCAACAGATAAAATTCAAAACATTAACAATAACATATAAAGCCATTTATAACTCTGCCCCAAATTACATCACCAATTGTGTCTCCAAATATCACCAAATCGTCCTCTCTGCTCCTCCCATGACCTCCTACTTTCTAGCTCCCTTGTCTCCTCCTCCCATGCTCATCTCCAGGACTTCTCCAGAGCTTCCCCCATCCTCTGGAACGCTTTACCCCAATCTATCAGACTATTGCCTACTCTGTCACTTTTAGGTGATCTCTGAAAACCTATCTATTCAGGGAAGCCTGTCCTGTCCTCAGCTAATAATGGAATCTTCTATTCCTCCTACCAATCCAGGGATGGACAGTTATTACCTTTTGTACCACTAGCCCCTCCCTCTTAGATTGTAAGCTCCAAGGAGCAGGGCCCTCCTATCCCTCTTGTATTGAACTGTATTGTTGCTGTATTGTCTCCCATTATATTGTAAAGCTCTGAGCAAACTGCTGGTGCTATATAAATCCTGAATAATAATAATAATTATTATTATTATTATTATTACTACTATTTAAAAAAATTTATTGGATATGTTTTTATAGCAAAAAGTAATTTTTTTTTTTTTCAAAATTGTTGGTCCTTTTTTTTTGTTTATTATTATTAATATTATTATACAGTATTTATATAGCGCCAACGGTTAGCTCAAAAAATAAAAAATGCAGAGGTGATCAAATACCACCAAAAGCTCACTTTGTGGGGGTAAAAAAAGAATATAAATTTACAGTGCTGCATGACCGTGCAATTTTATGTATAAATTACGGTGTCACCTTCCACTACATAATAACCCTTCACATGCTAGAAAAATCACTCTCACCCTTGAAAGTGCAAATTATTATATCACAAGAACGAATATGCCAGTAAACCCCACACTATAACAAAACTCTAAGCCTCAAATCCCAAACATAAACACAATACGCAATCCAATATTAAAAATATAAATAAAACGTTATCCCCAAATTATCGTGTAAAGTCACTCAAAATTATAAGTCAATTGATAAAGTCACTTCAACAAATGAAGTGTCCAAAATCCAGCTTGTCACTTTCTTTGGTGCTGAGCCCCTCCCCTGGCTCGTAAAGGACTGAAAGTACGTCTAAACCATGGGTGTGATCAGGAGGATACGGTGGATGACATCCTAAGAGGCATACTTCAGGCGTGGAGAAAAGGAATGAATGAATGCTGATTCCTACTATATGTTTAAGGCGGCGTTTTCCTTTATGTATTCTAGTAAGAGTATATATGCTTTTCCACTATAGAAGTTTACACTTTGTGGTCACTTGTGTTTTGGTTGTACTCACAGTGTGACGCACCAACTTTAACTTTGCACACGTGTTCACAATTTTGACAGTAATTTTTGAAGTTTTACACATTTTTGTGGAAGTTATGATATATTTTGGTGATTTAAGGTAATACACTATGTAGTGTTTCCTATTTTTGAGGTACTTTCTGTCCTTTGCGAGCCAGTGGAGGGGCTCAGCACCAAAGAAAGTGACAAGCTGGATTTTGGACACTTAATTTGTTGTAGTGACTTTATCAATTGACTTATAATTTTGAGTGACTTTACACGATAATTTGGGGATAATGTTTTATTTATATTTTGAATATTGGATTGTGTATTGTGTTCATGTTTGGGATTTGAGGCTTAGAGTTTTGTTATAGTGTAGGGTTTACCTAGGTTTTCAAACCCGCCCTGCAGGCCAGAGTACTTGGTGTCATTTTGGATTCCAACCTATCCTTCCAGCCCCAAGTCCAATCTTTAACAAACTTGTGCAGACTCCACCTCCGCAACATCGCCAAAATCCGCACGTTCCTAACCCAGAAACCACTAAACAGCTCATCCACTCCCTCATCATATCACGACTCGACTACTGCAACTCCCTCCTCACTGGCCTGCCTCGCCGCTGGCTATCCCCGCTTCAGTCGATCCTGAATACGGCTGCCAGACTCATTCACCTATCCAACCGCTCCGTTTCCGCCACCCCCCTCTGCCAATCCCTCCACTGGCTTCCGATTGCGCAACGGATCAAATTTAAAATCCTACCACTGACGTACAAAGCTGTCCACCATACTGCCCCGAACTACATCACTGACCTAATATCCAAGTACCACCCAGCACGCACACTCCGCTCCTCACAAGACCTCCTTCTCTCTAGTTCCCTGGTCTCCTCCTCCCATGCCCGCCTCCAGGACTTCTCCAGGGTGTCACCCATCCTCTGGAACTCCCTTCCCCAACCCATCAGATTATCACCTACTCTCCTCTCCTTTAGGCGCACCCTGAAAACCCATCTCTTCAGGGAAGCCTACCCCCTGCTAACTTGACCGACCTCCTCCACTCTTCCTACCACTCCATCCCCCACAGCTATCTCCTCCTGTACCACTATCCCATCCCTTCTAGATTGTAAGCTCGAAAGAGCAGGGCCCTCGATCCCCTCATGTTTTGCATTGTATTGGTATTGTTCTGTCACATGTTCTGTCCCCCTTTGTAATGTACAGCGCTGAGTGAACTATCGACGCTTTATAAATACTGTATAATAATAATAATAATAATACTGATATATTAGTTCTCGTGATATAATAAATGGCCGTGCAATTGTCAGTTAAAATAACGCAGTGCCATATCACAAGAAAAGGCCAGGCCAGGAAGGAGGGTGAATCCTCTGGAGGGCAAGTGGTTAAAAAACTGAATTTCAGTTGTGCCTAGTTGTTTTGATAAAATAAATATGTCAACATAGTCATTATTTTAGAATACCTGTAATGATTCCTATATTCCCAATTCTAGGTCTACAGAGGAGGAGAAGGCAGAGAAGATACGCAGGAAAGTCTCACTCATGAGGTGTGATGTCACCAAAGCCAATCCCCTAGAGCCAAATTCCCTTCCCCAGGCAGACTGTGTGATCGTTGGTGGGTGTCTCATCTGTGCTTGCAAGAACAGGGAAGATTTTCAAACTGCCCTAAAAAATATTGTATCTCTGATCAGACCTGGGGTCATCTCGTTATCACCGATTACTTAGGGGCCTTGTATTACATGGTTGGTGAGACAAAGTTTCCAGTTTTGTCACTTGATGAAAATTTTGTGCGAGAGGCGGTGGCTGAGAGTGGGTGTGAGATTCAGGAGTTTATGGCGTTTACTGACTTACAATTTCCAGAAGAGGTGTTTAATTGTAATACTTCGTTCTGTCTTCTGGCTCGCAAATATTGAAGCCATAAAGGGAAGCCATAGAAAAAAAAGGGGCAAAATTGGTGATAAAGTCCTTTTTTTTATATATAGACTTTATTTGGTAGACCAAGCTATATCTTTCTATAGTGATCTTTAGTTGTAGTCCTTTTTAATAACATTCATTAGTACATTTCAGGCAGAGCAGCAGGCATTTCAGGTGTCAACAGTTTTAATTACTATGATTGTCAGATTGTTGTTTTTTTTTTTTCAACCCTGTGGCATCCTGTGAGTAGGCACTGCTGTGTCATACGTTTCACAGAGCCTGCCTTCTGAACTACAGAGAAGCTGAGAGGAGGAGTTTCAGGAGGCAGAGTCAGTACAAGAATGGCTGCTTATAGACAGCATGGTACCATGGGACATGTAGTCCTGAGAAATTGAAAGTAAACAGCCAAATAAAAGCTGCAAAGCATGCAGGGAATTCAGGAAATAGTTTTGAAAGAGATGGCCAGGAGGCAGAATGACAACATGAAAGGACATTTTTTCGAGTTTCTATTGGATGGTCATTTATAACGACTTTATTTCAAAAATGGACCGCACTAAGGTCACAAATAGACAAAATAAACCATGCAATCTTTAAAGTGATAACACTGAGTTTAAATACAAATACAATATTAATATTCAGTCCCAGGTACTTTCTGAGGACGATCTATTGGTTGAAACTAGTCGAGGGCTTACGACACAACTTCCACTGACATCACTTCCGGGATTTGGAACACATGCTGGAATGCGGCGGCCCTCTTAATTCCCGTTCATAATATACAAAGCTGAATACACCTAGTGCTAGGAAAGCCACTTTTTTGTGAGTGGCATTTGTATTGTTTGATCCCATATTAAAGTTCTATACAGTTTTACACTATGGGGTGTCTGGTTTTCTTTTGATTTATGCTGAAAATATGAAATACTGCCTGTGACGGAGGGTAGGCAGGACAGAACACACAGAGTAGATGGCAAACGCAAGCTTTATTGAGACAAACAGGTGACAGTCACGCAATAGAGGGACTTGCAGGGAGGGTAAATTCACCAGTACAGGGTAGCAAGGGGGCTAAAACACTTAGAGTCCAACACCGAGAGCCAAGGGAGAGTCTCTGTAGCAATTGTAATCCAACAGGGGGGGGGGGGGTCAGTGCAGGAACAGTTCAGGTAAAACAGGGAGAATGCATATACTCATGGATCCGACAGGGTGCCTGGTCTCCCAGGGACAGAAAGTGGAACACAGGTACCTGTTGGAGTCCGGATCATGCAGGTGGTCTCCCCTTCTGGGCTGAGTCTTCAGGCAGCTGGCAGGCAATCTCTCCTCTGTGCTGAGGGTCTCGGGCAGCTAGCAGGTAATCTCTCCCCTGGACTGGGGTCTCGGGCAGCTAGCAGGCAATCTCTCCCCTCGGCTGGGGGTCATTGGCAGCGGGCAGGCAATCCCTCCCCTGGACTGGGAGTCCCGGGCAGCTAGCATGCAATCTCTCCCTTGCTGGGGGTCTCTGGCAGCTAGCAGGCAATCTCTCCCTTGCTGGGGGTCTCTGGCAGCTGGTAGGCAATCCCTCCCCTGCTGGGGGTCTCTGGCAGCTGGCAGTGTGGTTCCCCGTTCGGCTAGGGTGGTCTGCAGAGTCTGGCCCCCAAAGGTCCTGCCGCAGCTGGGCTCCTTTGGTGGCTGGCTTCTTAAGCTGATGCGGGATGCTCTCTAGTCGTCTAGGTAACCGGGGTTGGCCGGGGCTGGCGTGCCTTGTTGCCCGGCAACGAGGTACACCCCCTGGACAGGGGCCGTGCCTCTTGTGAGGTCAGCCTTTGTCCAGGGACTTTTGCAAGCGTGGTAACTTCCAGTGCCCATGCTGCAGATGACAGGGCTGAGGTGGCATCAGCGAGACCTCCGCGGAGAGGTGTGAGTCTTGCCACGGCCGGGGAGGGAGAAGATAGTAGCAGGGGTGAGGAAAGCAGCACCTCTCATCCCACGGCGGCAGGATGATGAGGTGGGGGGGGGGTCACTGGACCACAGGGATGAATGGTCTGGCGACAGGGGACACAGTGGCGGGGCTGGTGACAGGGGACACAGTGAGGGGTCCAGGATGACACTGGACCCCCGGGGACATCAGAGGGGCTGGGGCAGTGGAGGCCATGCAGCCATCTGGCCGGGAGGGAGGAAGCCACCGTGCTGGAATTTGGCCATTTGGCAGGGGTCCCTACTGCCTGTGGAGGAGAGGAGTTGCCTAACATTGATGCACATCTAGTGGAAAGTTATTGGCTACTACCAGCAACCACGGTTATAAGGGCGAAAGAATATCGTCCATCAGGACCGGATTGCAAACTGGGATAGTCCCAAAAAGCGAGTGTAACTTACCTAGAGATAGGTGGTCATTAAATGAGTTTACATCTATGTGGGGCACCAGTGTGAACACAATGAAGCACTTGTCATTTCAGTATGGAGTATCACCGTTAAAGATACAGCACTGTTGCTCCAAGTATTCACATGTTCGGACTGACTGATATTAATATTGTATTTGTATTTTGCTCTGTGTTATCACTTTAAAGATTGTACAGTTTATTTTGTCTAATTGTGACCTTAGCGTGGTGCATTTTTGAAATATATAAGATTTTGTGTTTAGAAATTCACATTTAGGACTGCTGCTATATAGGTATCTTATATATAGTTAAATTCTTTCACATATATGTTAATCAATTTTTTTCCTAAGCACAACAGCACCCCTTTTTTCTTTCAAACATTTATAACTATTGTTTGTATTGCTATTATAATTCTTATGTTATAAAATAAAAGTGTATGCTGTGGTCAAAGAACTCCTTCTTCTTCTTCTTTTTTTTTTTTTTTGTAATTCTTTATTTATGTAAGTTTTTAACAAAGCAGGGGGAAACAAACAGAAGGTTCACCGTGATGCCAACAAACAAAAGGATGCAATATACAAACGTCTTAGTGCAGAAATCAGCCAAGGCATGGTGCAAGGATATCGGAAATTGAGAGCAAACAATCAGGTTCATAGAACTTTTTAAATTACTTTTTTCTATAAATGAAATGTCCAATACATGGTTGACTTGAATATTTTGGAAGGATTTATGGCTATAATGGTATGATAATATATAACACTGTCCTTCCACCTTTTTAAATATTAGATTTTGTTTGTCTTAGCTGTGATGTTAACAATTCATAGACAGTCGAAGGCTATATTTATAATTAAAGTTTTGAGTCATTCAATCATTTTTCTATTCTAGAGTGTTTACACTTGGCCAGCAAATTGTCCACAAGGTGCAAAGCCACTCTTGATTGTGTTTGTGATCTGAGATAATTACAGCTCAATCAGATACACATTCAATGAGTGAACTGGCTGCCGGAGTGTGCCATCTAGATATGTGCAGTTCATTTTGTTCCAAAATCAAAATTCGGTTGAAATATTCATTAGATGTAGATGTATCTGAATTACAATAGTAATGAATTTAAACGAATCCAAAATAACGAAATTAAATTTTGTTTAAAAAATGGTATTTGAAAATGAAACCAAATTCGAAACATAAACTTATTGCTTAATATTGCTGATTTCCTTCAAAGACCGTGTGTATTAGTGCTATATAGCCATCTTCCGAAATTCTAGATACAGGAAAAAGTGAATAGAATGGAATATAATAGAATAGAAAATAAAAGAATAGAGTAGAAAATAAAGTATTAGAATAGAATAAAGAATAGACTAAAACAGAATAGAAGAAATTAGAACAGAATATAGCCACCTTCTGCAATTCAAATTTTGAAAAGAATAGAATAAACCAATAGAAAAGAATAGAATACCATAAAATAGATAAGAAAATACAGGAATATAATAGATTAGAACTGTTTTCTGAAATTTTAATTTCAAATAGAATAGAACCAGCAATTCTGCATAATGAATTCAGATCAATGCAATATTTTCAATTTGAATACTTTGAATCCATTGGAAAAATTTGAATCTGGGCGAAAACGAATAAAGGAAATGCATTTAGTTACGAATGCAATAAAATGAAATTAATAACTTAACAAATCGATCCAAAACTATTTTTTTTTCATTCTGCACATATCTAGTGTTCTCTGCAGTGCCCTTACCTAAACTTGAATATCTGAATGGTCAGTTTGTGTTTTACGTTACTTCATAAACTTCTGACCAGTCAGAAAGAACTTCTTGTATCTGAAAACCAAGCAATTGTACCAGTTTTCCCCAGCAATAGTGCTGCACAGTATGATCTAGTATCAATGGACTGTACTCCACTGTGTCCCAGTCCTAATAAAGCCAGTCTCATTTTGCTGCACAGCCAGAACACAAATCGGGGATTAATTTTTATAGCTTACATGGTGACAACCTTGGTTTTAAATAAAAAAGGATATAAAAAAAGCCACTGTGGGGCAGCACAGTGGCTAAATGGTTAGCACTCCCGCCTGGCAGCACTGGGGTTGTTGGTTCAAATCCCAACCATGGCACCACCTGCTTGGAGTTTGCATGTTCTGCCTGTGACTGCATGGATTTCCTCCGGGTACTCCAGTTTCCTCCTACACTCCAAAGACATGCTGGTAGGTTGATTGGCTCCTGTCTAAAATTGTCCCTAGTATGTGTATGTATGAATGTGAGTTAGGGACCTTAGATTAAACACCCCTTGAGGGTTAGGGACTGATGTGAATGTACAATATATATGTAAAGCGCTGTGTAAATTGACGGCGCTATATAAGTACCTGAAAGAAATAAATATTGAAGTGTCTCTGATTCCAAATTAACAGAAAGGTGGAAACAATTTTTAAAGGAAACCCGTGCTTAGAGATCTATGCTGGCAGCCATT